TTCCGAGCTTATATGGCAGCAACTGACGGTGTGCAGCAACGGGTGGGAGAGGGGTAAGCAGGGATTTACTCTATACTCCATGTAGAAACAAAATACTCCAACCACTCTGACGGTTTTCATGCTGTTTGATTAAAGCGATCATAAGCGTTTGTTTTGAAAGCATAACTTTTTAGAACCTCGAAACTCGAAACCAGCCTGCGACAACAGCAGATATCACGGCTTGCATGCACGGCGCAGTCATGGTGGATTTCAACGTTAAGACCTGTATAATTTCCCTGACCTCCCCAGTTAGGAGTTAGGTTTTTCCCGGTGGGCCTCATATGAATTCCCCAACCAGAAACCTGGATAGTCTGAGTTCAAGTGAAGAGCATTGTTATTTTGTGTGCTGTTTCCCAGTTTTTGACAGCTACTTTTTCTTCTTAGTGTTCATATCACATCTAAGATCTAAAGACGTGAAACCCCCCCACCCCCCAAAAAAACAAGGGAGACTGTGCCAAACGTGGGTCCAAAACGAGCAGAGCAAAAGGACTTGAATCCATATTTCAAGTGAGGACGGTGTCCGTGACATTTTGTATTTTCTTACTCCAAACATCTGCACTCCAACCCCTAGGATGAATCTCATGGATGGCAGCGGGCGTGTTGGCATCGACCGAATCCCACCTAACCTTCTCTGCTTCCTATTACTGAGGCATTTCCACACTCCTGCAACACCCGTTAGCCACCCAGCCCCAGTATGATGAGTTGGCCAGGCTTCACGCCTTTCCATTTTACCCTTGATGAATGGCTGCAGCAGATGGTTTGTTGTCTTTGAAGATTCCAGGGAGATGAGCGTGATGAATTGCTCCAGGCCGGAGCCGCCACCCCTCTTTAACACCACCATCGCCATCATGTTACACTTCCCAGCCCTAAAGAAAGCGAAATGTGATCAATATGTCTTTGACTCAAACACCCCTTGAAGGTGCTTCCTTACATTTTCAAATTGCCTTTGAACGTCAAAGTAGATGCCGTTCAAAGCATATACAAAAAAAAACAACAAAAAAAACAGACGTGGGCTTTGACTCACCCGGTTCTGTCATTAGTCTTTACATAATGGACGTTGGTCACACAGCAGGCCACAATTTAAAAACAAATACGGGTACACAATGAAACTTTGCCAAAGTAGTGACACTCTTGATTCCCTTTTGACAATGTTGATTTATTCTTTATAGCCCTAATGATTAAAAAAGCAAAACGTTTCTGCCAGTTAAAGAGTATGAACCTTCAAAATGAACATCATTCAAAAATTATTCACAAAAACAAACTGATATGGAAGGTCGTAAAATTTTCTGTTCTCTGCATCATTATATCAATAACCAGCCTGGAAATCTTAACACTTGGTGCAAATATTGGACCCCATATTCATCAAATCTTAACGTGACTTTGACTATTCAGTTTTCTTTACGGTCCAACCTTGAGAGATGACTGCCCTCATGCTGTGCCCTTCTTGTTAAACTTATTTGTAAGCCAGGTCATTTACAGCAGGTCATCCATCAAGTAAATCACATTAAAAGACGTGTCAGCGGTCCTCCTAAAATAGACCCCCGAAAGCACCTACGTCCACATACCGTGCCTGTTGAAGGAACATCAAAATGTAAGGTTGGGCATACTTGGGATAGCTGTGACGGTAAGCCACCACCTGCTGAAAATGTGTGTACACACAACAAATGCTGTGGAATAACAGAGCAGAAGCAATAAAGTAAAACTTTATCGTAGCTATCAGTGGACATCTACATACACTATTTTGCCAAAAGTAACAGCTTCAACTCTTCTGGGAATCTACAAGGTTTACGAATCAGTCTACGCAAATCTTTTGTGTATCTTACCAGACATGCATTTTTGAGGTCACGTATTGATGTTGGATGGAGGGACTGGTCTGTCTTCATTTAAATTTATACGAAAAGGAGTTCTATTACGTTTAGGTCAGCATAAAATTGTCCAAAATGCTGAAGTTTTAAGAGTTTCTTTTAATGGACCCAAGAGGCAGAGTTGAAATTTCAGGTCTAAAAGTCACATTGAACGGTTGCCTTTTAATAAAAAGAATAAACAGTAATAAAAATATGAGGTTCGCATGAACTATAAATAGTTTGCTAACAGGTAGGAAATGGAAGCTGGAAAGGCCTAAATTGTGATGGATAGGAATTGATGAAGGGGTGAACTGACTTGTTTCTCCAAAACAAGCAAAACTGTTTTTCTCTCTCAAGGTTTTGCTACGACTGCTGTGTGTTTGGCACCACCCGTTAAATGTAAGTTTTGATGTCATTATTGAAGTACACAGTGAAGAAATAAAAAACAGACTTCTTGGTGTTGGCATGTTTGACGAAATGTAAGCGTCTCAAGTGTTGGTGCAGTGGCAGATTGGCAAGTCAGTCTGCACAGTGAATTGGCAATATATCTTGACATCGCAACACTGGCGTGTGCAGGTAAAGTGGAGTATGCTGAGTATGGGCTGGCATATTCCAAGTGCATGCAGTTTTCATTCTAACGTAATATGTAGCCAGTTGGACAGAGTGCTCAAAATGCTAAAGGTCACAGAGCGTAGAGGAAAGGGTAAAATCTGCGTATTGGTCTTTCCACCCCAATATTTCCTAATCTTGTCACCAATCAAACATTTTCTAATATCGTGGAAAATTCACCATGAGACAGAGGATATTATATCTGCTCCATAAGTGCTCTGCAAATATGGATTTTTTTTTAGGATATGAGGTGTAATTAGCTTTCATACAACACATTTATCATGAAATTAGGGTGTGTGTCAACCTGCTGTAAGAACTTTATGAAATAATTTTGCCCTTAAACTCATACGAAATTGGTTGAAACTTCACGGACATGGTGCTATAACGTCTCAAAATGTAAAAAAAAGAAAGAAAAAAAAGTTCTTTAAAAACTTCCTTCATAACAAACACTTCCCACGTTCCAAAGAATTACAGGTTTAGCACACAGTATGAGAGTGAGTTGTTATGTTTTCGTTTTTATTATGGTAGTCATGTTTTAACTGAGTCTCATTTTTCATTTATTTTCCTTTCCTCCATTAGCTGGAGGCCTCACCTGCGGGCGAATGAGCACACATACCCGGTGCAACGTGAAACCATTGTCTGTTTACTGGAAATGGAACAAGGAACTGTGCCACTGAACTTGCCTGCAGTGCTGCAGGTGTGAATATCTGTGTCCTGGCGATTGTGATTAATGGCAACGAAGCCTGGGTCTTCGCACAGCACAAAGTGATCACAATAGCTCTGACAAAGTCAATCAAAACAATCCATCAGTGCCAAGAAAAAATGTGATGGAGAGGAAAGGGGTGGGAAGAGGGGAGAGCTCATGAGGCTAGGCTGGCTGACAGCACTGCTGATTTATCACAGATGTGCATTTCTGAGACCATGGGCAAACATGATTTTAGCATTTGGGAAGAATTTTTGGGCTTTCATGTGGCCTTTCACAGGGCAAGTTCAAATAGAAAGATCAGTACGGATGGACAAAACACATGGATACACTCAGGGTCTACAGTGCATGCTCAGACACACCTGGACAAAATATTTGCAGGATTCTTGCATTGCAGACTGTGGTGAAAGAAACATTTTAGATTCTCACATCTAGCAATTAAAGACATAAAACTGTACATATGTAAACTAGTTTTTGTCGTGTGGATGAGTTTTGTTTTTTTTGAGTAGCAGGTTCCTTCACTCTCGTCTATGAGAGGAGCTCATTATTACGTGTTATTATTGACGTACAATAAACCCAAAAGTATTCAGACCCTTGGTAGATTTCGATTTGTACTTATTTTATTCAATCAAGATGTTTGTTACTGATATGAAATGAGAAAGACATGCTCTAAAAGATAAAACAGGAAAGTAATATTAATTTTGAAAAAAAAGTATCTTTCTCTATTTACAATATGTAATATTGTAAATACAATATGTAATATTGTAAATATGCAATATTGTAAATAAAGAATATATATATATATTTATGAACTTGTTCCAGTCAGATCAATTTCCTGAGTGAAACACATACATGAATTACACCCATGCTGATGTTTTCTAGCCTTTATTTCTGTTAATTAAAATCATTTCAGGCTTACATTTAGTGAAACACAATAATTAATATTTGAATATTACATCAGAACAAAAAATAAAAATAAAAAATAAAAAAACTGAAATGAGGACTCACTCACTGATACCTGGTTACTGCAATTTTTTTTAACTTTATTTTTTTTATCTGACATACGGGCCCAATCAGAATTTATATTCTAACTTGTGGAATATGTAATCCCTATTTATAAGTAGGTAATAAGACTTTTCACATATCTTTACCACACTAAATTGTTTTTTTTTTACTCATTGCAGTTTAATGCAATCTTGAATACTGATGTCGTGCAAGCTGACTTCAGGAGAGGATTTAAGGCAGCTTCAACTCTGGTGATGCATCTCAGAAAGTAAGAGAAATAAATTCATCAGAAAGAAGATGAGTCAAGTCTCCATTTAATGGATGACCTTGTAACACATTTACCAAGCATTAAACTGGGAGTAGAACCAGTTTTTGAAACTTTCTTGATGGCCCTTTAGAAAGTGTTTGCATAATAAGGTCAGTGTTATCCAAAGCTTTTCTTTCTTTTTCAAATGACTCGTGTAACAGAGCCCTGTTTACTACTTCCTTTTTGTTTCACATGTAAATGTTGGTGTCAGAATGAAGTTATTGGGGGCATTCAAACCAATTATGTTATTATGGCTTGTTATAATGCGATTACAGGGACTGAGCTGAGGCTGATTGTCTCTTTAAGAAGCAGTGAGAGTGGCCGTGGGGGGCGGTGCGGTTTCACACCCTCGGGTGGGAAACATAGGCGGAGCCCAGCGGGCATTGACTGACAGCCGCTCAAGGGTTTTTACACTCTTATATGCGGTGAGAAACCGCGACGACCAATCACGTGGCCGGGCAGCCCACCCAGCAATCCCAACAGCCAATCAGGACGAGCGACGGGCGGACCCTGGGATCGCTGTTGTGCTTCCAACGTGGGACTGCGGAGCGATCGCCCACAAAAAAAGGGAAAAGTAACTCGGCGAAGGAGAAAACTCATGGTGGTAAAAGCACGCTCGAAAAGAGGAGGGGGCTGCAGTTTTGTTATTTATCGGATCCGCTGGATTTTGCGAGCGCAGACTGCACCTGACGGGCTGCCGGTGGAGTTTCTTTGGATGGTACCGAGTCGGCGTTTCAAAGTTGGATTTATGCGGTTCAGGTTCGGAGGAGAGCCCACGGAGCAGCGCTCGGTTTGAGAGTTTCAACCACTGTTTCTAACTTATTTACTAAGTACCTATTTTTTTTTTATTGTTTTGGTGGCGAACCGTCCAAACTCCGCTTGAAGTTTGTGCTAACGGCAGATTTCGAGACGTTGAGCCGCTGGAGTCGGGCGCAGAGTGAGCGTCCTTTTAACGTCTGGCTCCTCGGTGCTTTCAAACTTAGTTGCGAAGACAACTCTTTCACCACCCTTCCCCATTTCGGACATTTTTCATTTATTTTTTTTTTTGCCACTTTATTTGAGTTAAATGTTTCCAACAGTCCACCTCAGTTTCTTCTGTGATTTTTCTTGAATTTTACTCCCGCGTCGGACTCCGGGGGAGAAAGTTGGGAGTGAGGACTTGTTTCAGACATGAGTTCCGCGGAGACGGACTTTCCCGCAGTCGTTCGTGGCACAAAAAGATAGTTAATGAGCCGCGAAGGGTTTTTACTTTTCCCCGAGCGAGACTGATAACAAATTTCCCAGCCTGTGGGCACCGGGAGAGCTCCGCGGCCGCGCTGCTATACTGGATACAAAATGGCGCCGTCCCTGGGACCGCTCGGATGTGTTTCTCGCTGTGTCTTTTATTTAATGTTGTCGCTGGAGCTCTTAAGCTGTTTTGGACTGAGTTCGGACGCACCTTGCCCTCAGAACTGTACCTGCAGCGGGGACTCGGTGGACTGCAGTGGCCTGGAGCTGACCGTCCCGCCTGCGGACCTTCCAGTTTGGACCGTTTCCTTGTAAGTGTCCCTTAAACTATTTATTGACCAGTCCATAACGGGGTAAGCGGGTTTTTAAAGGGGGTAAGGGGGAGGACTTAGCAACTAGATAAAGATTCTCTTGTGATGGGAAGCAGAGGACACATCAGGGAAGGGACTTTTCTGTCTTTCTTAGCTGGAGAAAGAATTTTCTTGCTTTTGTCCATCCCCAGCCGGTCAAAGGCATAAGCAAACTCAGCAGCTGCTTTGGGCCCCGCACTCCGAGTTTCAGCGCCTTCCATTAGCCCCTTTTAGTGAATATACGCTTATATATCCAATTTGTTTAAGCTCTGGCTGGTGAGGCTATGGGTTATGGCGATGCAAAAAAAAAAAAAAAAAAAAAAACTCCTCTGAAGAGATCTGAGCCTTAAACTGGATTTTCCTTCTCATTTGTCTATGGAATTATTGTGATACCTTCTTTTATACTTGTGAATTTTTTTAACTGGTTTGAAGAACCCACATTGCAATAGTTAGCTGAAACTAACTTGTTATAATGTGATTACAGGGACTTTCCTGTAGCCGGAAATATAAATGTAATCCTCACTGTACAGGTGTGAAGTTAGTAAACTTGAATGAAAAAAGAATTGACTTGAAGCCTAAAACTTGCATAGATAAGTTGACATAATTACTTTCAAGTTGCTTTGTTCATTTTAAAGGACTGGACTGAGTAAGAAAATTTGCTTTGGTTGTGTTTTACAGTTCATTTACATCTTAAATTTAAATCTTGACCATTTACAATGGTTTTAAATGTATCCAAATCACACTAGCAGGTTCCCCATAGTAGTGAACCCCTAAGATCCCCTGAACATAATTGAGGAGTAAAAAGTGCAATTAAATTAAAATGATCATCATTTATCATCACTCATTCTCAACTAAATTTCTAACTTGACTTGAAATGCTTTGATTTTCTAAAGTGTATTATTTATGTTTAATGTGAAAGACACAAATGTATAAAGATGGAGGGTATAATAGAGATATCCACTGGGCAGGAGTGAGTGATAGCAGTCGTAAGGCCCCCGAATCGGATTCTGTTGAAGCCCCCAGAACATTTTGGGCCGGCTCTGTAAGTGCAGCTGCTACAGCAGGTCCAAGCCTGGGATGACTAAAACTAGTCTGCTACTTTAGTTAAATAAACTGCTGCATCTCTTTTCTTCTTTTAGGGGCCATGCCTCAGAGAAAACTGGAAAAACGATATCTTCCAGAAAAAAAAGAACAGATCTGTGGCTCTCTTGTGCTGATGATGACATAATTACACACATTTGGCGCGGGATAATTTACTACTTTATGGTTTTTGCCTGTTTCGTTGGGCTTATTTACAGCAGTTTAGTGTCAACTTTATAACTACTTTAAACTTTATGCATAAAAAAGGCGTTTTTACACTTAAGATTTGTTTGTTATAGCTGTTCAGAAGTGTCCAAGATTTTTTTCTATGTTATCAACATTTCTGCAGTATATTTTAATTTGAAATCAATTGACCTGCTAAATTTATTGCCTTTTCCAAAGTCTAATATATTATCTGTTCCTAGAGATAGAATGAGCAAACGTGTTTGCTTGGGTTGAGCAAACAAACATGTCATAACAAATAAACCCTCATCATTATTCCCCTGAGATTAATGATGAGTATTATCCACATTTCCTTTTCTGCCTTGGAAGCCATAGCTCACAAATTGAATTTGTAGTAAATAAATCAACTTCCCAGCCGGGATACCACTGACAACAGTCGATACCTTGTCTGTCAGCTCCTTAAGGAACATTAGCTACTTTGGGACATTTTTACGAGCCATCCTCCAGTGTGTTTGGGTGCTTCAGCTACCATCCTGCTGACTGAGACAACTCGTCCAAAGACAACACCGCTCTCTATCCTCCCCCGAGGCACGAAGCGCGGCGTCTTCTCCAGCATAATTATCGGTGACAATTAGGCGTCTTGTTCTAGGGGTTTCCAACATCTGCTTGCGTTTGGTTCCCGTTCGTTGCCGGAAACCTGAGGTTCAAGACCAAAGGACCCGAGCGCTGCTCCTGCTCCTATAGGTTCCCGCTCGCAGCAGTTTATCTTTCCCCCTGTGAAGTGAGGAGTACAACTTCTTCTTTTCAGAAAAGAAGCTCTCTCCAAATGTGAATAATGGAGCTTGCGCCCCGTAAGCAGCAGTTGATCGTGCATGCGCTCAGACTTGGATGGTGGACGGCGGCTGTCTTATTGTGGGACAATGTTCTGCTTGAAAACAGCTGCTGTGAGTCCAAGCGTCGCTCCGAGCCTTCTTCTGTTATCTCCTCCGAACCTTATCAGTTAAGATTTAAGCGGCCGCAGCCTTTTTGTTTTCAAAGGGAATGGCTTTATGGCCGTGGATTATCTCTTGAAACACCTAGAGTTGCACATTTCAGCTACACAGGAGATAGTAACTTCATCTTGGCAGGTTGCTCAAAGGGAGAAAATGCTATGGTTCTGGAGTCGGTGCATATAAATAGTTATTATATGGTTCCTTCAAACCCAAAGAACTCCAGTACAGTCGTTTTGACCCATTGCCAGGTGTTTGAAGTGCTTTAAGTAATGCCTACTTCACACTACAACTTTTTTATGCAGATTTTTTTCCAGATTTTGACCTTCTGGCAATCTTAAGGACAACCCAAATTATCGGGATGGCTATTAAAATAATCTTAAGAGACACTTTTAAGTGTGTGATGTGTTAAGAGTAATCTGGTCCGTTCAGAATCGGGGGATGTTGGATTGTCTTAGCCTGACAGCCTGATACTACAGCATGTGTAGTGTTCCCTGAGGAGAAACAAGAACACGGCCTGTTGAATGTGATGTGTGGCCAATCAGAAAGCGCGGTGACGGAAACATGGAGGGGAACCCCAAAGTACACAGAAGACAAAACCGCTTTGTATTGTTTTTTTTCCTCTGCTAAATATAACCCATACACTATCACCATCGCTTCTTCCCAGTCTGCCATCTTTATTTACCCTGAACTTATATTTGGTCTTGTGAAGTTTTGCAAGATTTTTGTCTGACATCTGAATGTTGGCGAGTGAAAATTGGTTGCGTGTGGTGTGTTGCTCCACACGCTGTACGACTAAATCTATCATACCTTTCTCTCAGGTTTTGAAAATTGGCCAACAATTTTAAACTGATAAAGTTGTTCATTGTTAACTCTCTTCAGAAAGATTTTTGTGTCTGTCATGCCTAGTAGAAGCAAGATGCCTGGACTTTTGATGCCGATTATCAAAAGTCTTCTACAAGTCTATCTTCTGGAATTCCATCAAAAATCTTCTATGAGAAGATTGTGATCAAAGGCAGTTCTCTTGTTTCTGTGTCTGATTCTTAGTTTCATATGTACTGAAATTCTCAGTTTCCGCAGTCAGTCATAAGAACGGAGGATCCCACTGTGGAATCGTTTATCTCTGTGAGCCCCAGAGGAGGGGTTAAGCCGTAGCTGTATGGCTGCTAGGCAGGATGGTATTGATTCCACTTTTCCTCACTTTCTTCTTGTCTAGATTGAGCAAAGGGATGTTCTCAGTGTCTAGGAACAAAGATATTATTTGCAAGAGAGTCTAACGTGAAGACATTTTCAAGGCTGACAAGAAAACAAAATTTGGTAATGAACAGCAGGACAGCAAAAAAAACAAACACTTGACCTAAATTTTGTGTGAATATGTTGAAACTGTGACATACTATAGTCTCACTGAGGCCTTTTCTTTATTAGAACTATGAGTGACTGAAGCATACATCATTCAAAAATAATTCAAAACTTTAAATAAACCTCCTGTTTTCGCTATTTTAAGAAGGTTGTTCAAGAAGGAGGGAATAAATCTTACAAAAGAAACATTTTTCTTACCTCATAGTGTGGTGGAGTGACTGTCATGTTGCCATTTCAGCATTGCCTTTTACCTTTGATTATAATTAAGAAACACAAAATTTATTACAGAAGAATAAACTCTCCTTAGTGGGTATTGAAAGTCAAAATAAACCTGGTTCAAGTTGTTTTAAACATCATGCATATTCTGACTAACCCTAACCTTCTTGCCGTTTCCTGACTCCTCTGCAGATTATCATTATGAATCGTTCTTAGAAACTCAACCACCTCCTTATTTTTCTAACTTGATCAATTCAGACTATTTGTCACGGACAACAACAAAAAAAAAAAGGAAAAAAAAAAGTAGCTTTTGATGAGTATTTGTGCAGAGAAGACGGGTTCCCAAAGGGCAGGTTTTAGCCTGCAGCTCATCCATCACTGGCACAAATAAGGCCACAACTGTTGGTGGAAGAAAACAAAGCAGTAATGCTTTCCAGCTGTCAAAATAATCACCCCTCAGGACCCTGATTGTAACAGTCCTCTGTGAACAAAGGGCCTTGATGAGAATTCAGGCAAGCAAACATGTTGGCACATCCGCTGCAGGGCAGGCTGAGCCAACAAGGGACCTATGGGGGCCGAGGTGTTGGGGAACACCACCATACGGACCTTCTTATTCACTGTTACTTTAAGTAGCCTCATTTAGTAACAATGCTAACAGTCTACTATTACATCATCGACGATTTGTCCGGCTCTGTCTTCAATCACAGTTCTTTTACACTACTTAAACATACCCTTGTACTTCTGCATATCTTCATCAACCACATGTGTTGCTGTTTTTCATTAGAGCTCCTTTACGTTTAGCAAATTGACCATCAGCCTCAGAAGTTCGTCTTTGTCTTCATGATTGATGAATAGTCCAACAAAACACAAAGCAAGCAGTCTGTCGCGCGGTCGCGTACTTCCTCTCAGGAGTGGTGTTTTATTTTATTTGCAGCCAGTGTAATGTGTGCAAAAAGCATTTTTACCCTCAGTGCCACTGGCGTAATGGGATTCTGTGAGTAAATAAAAGCATGAGTGTTGCTGATTTTGGCCCCGATTCGCTGTGTTGGGGGAGAGAGAGAAGGAGGGGGAGATGAAGCAGATACCGGGTGTCTGTTTGTCACTGTGTCTGGCGCAGGACAGTCCTCATGAAAG